CCCAAACCAGGGTATATACATTTACCAGAGGGACAGGACCACTGCAAATGGCTTAGATCACTCAAGAGCATTCCCCAGACCTGGAAATGCTGCTGGTCCCAAAAACATGTGGCTAGGAAGGTGGATATCTGAACAAATCAGGGCTCTGTATGAAAGTGGAAATATGGACACCTTGCATTTTGATGAGGAATGTGAAAAAAACAAAATCACACCCTCTTTCCAATAGAGAATTAAACTGAACCAGTTGAGAATTTTCCTGTGCCAGAGATTCTCAAAATATGGACCAGCAGTGTAAGCATCACCTAGGAACTTTTTAGAAATGAAAATTCCCCCACAACAAAGAATTGTTCAACCCAACATGTTAACAGAGCCAAAATTGAGAAACGCTATGCAATGCTCTAAGGCAGAGGAAGAATGTTACAGGAGCCACTTCCCACCTAGCTCTACAGAGTAGAGCCAGGTCTTCCAACCTAGTTGGCACAAGGATTAGCATCTCTTAGGTATCCTCACTTGGGGGCACTTTTGGTTCAGCGGTAGAATTCTCACCCTCCATGTTGGAGACCCAGGTTTAATTCCCAGAAAATGTACCTCATGCTCAGTCACTTGTCTGGAGTTTTGTAAGTTGCTATGATGCTGAATAGGCTTCAGCAGAGCTTCCAGACTAAGACATATGTGGTAGTTGAGTTGTGTATCAACTTGGCTGGGTCTGGTTTTGACTGTCTGGGAAAATGGATGTAGTTATTCCCCATGATGAGACTGGTCATCACCTTCATGGTGGTATCTGCACTGAGCAGCTGAATAACCACCTTACGGATGTGGTTTGATTCCAGTACATAAGGACAACTGTTGAAAAAGGTCTCTGAGCTTTTTGGCATGCTTGGACCCTGCAAAATGCCAGATATTCATCTAGCCTGCCATGTTGTCTGCCCATTTTAGCATTGTTCCTGGACTTGAACCAATGCCCTGCTGTGTTGTTCAGTAATTTGGGGACTGTGCCATTTTACCCATCGACCTTGGGTTTGTCAGACTCAGCAGCCAACAGCTGCCTGAGCTAAGAGACGCCTCAAGCTTCAGTGGGCTGGGAGCAAGAGGCAGAGCTAAAGTCCAAGATCGAGGGCTTTCACCCAGCCCCTAAGACTGGCACTCTGAACTCGGACTTCTAGCCCCTAAAACTGTAAGAGAATAAACTCCTGTTTGTTAAAGCCACCCAGTTGTGGCATATCTGTTGGAGCAGCAGTGAGGTAACCAAAACAACATACTAAGAAGAAAGGCTCATGATCTACTTCCAAAAAATCAGCCAATGAAAACCCTATGATCACTACGGAACATTGTTTGATCCCCAGCTGATCACAGGGATGGCACAAGACCAAGCAGCTTTTTGTCCCATTGCTCATGAGCTTGCCATGAATTGGGAGCTGACACAATGGAAGCTAACAACAATAACAAGGATTTTCACAATAGAATAGAGTTCAAATTCCTTTTGCCGTCGGTGTCTAACCTTCCTACTAAGCACCAAATCTTTGGGCCTTAAGGTCAGTCAGCTCCTAGGGTTTCATCAGGTATCTTTCCATGGAAACGCAATAAAAAAGAGCACAATGTTTATCTTCAGGACTGAAACTGACATATTTTATAAGGGGAACAATTAATAAGTGCACTGACATTTCACAACCAGCTTTTATGGGGGACTAATTCCTCCAAGAAATTTGGAAGACAGTTATGTAGCCAACTGACTAGAAGAGATCCATATTTGTGCCATTGTAAAGAAAGGTGATCCAAAAGAATGCGGAAATTATCGAACAATATCATTAATGTCACACACAAGTAAATTTTTTTCTGAAGATATAACAGTTTTAACAGTAAATTGACAGGCAACTGCCAGAAATCCAAGCCAGATTCAGAAGAAGGAGTGGAACAAGGGATATCACTGCTAATGTCACATAGATCTTGGCTGAATGCAGAGAATACCAGAAAAATGTTTACCTGTGTTTTATTTTGTACAACACAACTAATTATGGATAACACTGAGAAGAATAGGAATTCCAGAACACATAATTGTGCTCCTGAGGAACCTGTGCATAGATCAATAGACAGTTGTTTGAATAGAGTAAGGGAACACTGCACTTACAGTCAGGAAAGGTGTGCAGCAGGGTTGTATGCTTTCACCATACTTATTCAAACTGTGTGCTGAGCAAATAATCTGAGAAACTGGACTATATAAAGAAGAATGGGGCATCAATGTTGGAGGAAGATTCATTAACAATCTGCAACATGCAGATGACACAACCTCGCTCATAGTGAAGATGACTTGAAACACTTACTGATGAAGATCAAAGACTACAGCCTTTAGTATGGATTACGACTCAATATAAAGAAAACAAAAATCCTCACAACTGGACCAATAAGCAACATCACAATAAATGGAGAAAAGATTGAAGATGTTAGGGATTTCATTTTACTTGGATCCACCATCAATACCATGGAATTAGCAGTCAGCAAATCAGACAACAGATTACAAAGGGAAAATCTGCTACAAAAGACCTCTTTCAAGTGTTAAAAAGCAAAGATATCACTTTGAAGACTAACATGCCCCTGACCCAAGCCATGGTATTTTCAGTACCCATGGGAAAGCTGTGCAATTAGCAAGACTGAAGAATTGATGCCTTTGAATTGTGGTGTTGGTGAATAATACTGAAAACACCATGAACTGCCAGAAGAATGAACAAATCTGTCTTGGAAGAAGTACAGCATAATGTTCCTTAAAAGGGGAAATAACCAGACTTCATCTCACCTATTGCTAAAACAGCAAGGAGGCCACATGTTCTGACCTCCTCTAATCCCACAAGAGGAAGACAGAATCACCATCAATAGCCCAAGGCCTATTCCTGCCAGGCCAGACATGCTGCCTCCCTCCAGCCCTTTCTCCAACCGTTCCTCCCAAAGCACCCACCACCTCTCTCCTGGGTTCGAGAA